AAGTGTGATGTGTTCAGGCTCTAGCTGTATGATGTGTGATGTGTTCAGGCTCTAGCTGTATGATGTGTGATGTGTTCAGGCTCTAGCTGTATGATGTGTGATGTGTTCAGGCTCTAGCTGTATGATGTGTGATGTGTTCAGGCTCTAGCTGTATGAAGTGTGATGTGTTCAGGCTCTAGCTGTATGATGTGTGATGTGTTCAGGCTCTAGCTGTATGAAGTGTGATGTGTTCAGGCTCTAGCTGTATGATGTGTGATGTGTTCAGGCTCCAGCTGTATGATGTGTGATGTGTTCAGGCTCTAGCTGTATGAAGTGTGATGTGTTCAGGCTCCAGCTGTATGAAGTGTGATGTGTTCAGGCTCCAGCTGTATGATGTGTGATGTGTTCAGGCTCTAGCTGTATGAAGTGTGATGTGTTCAGGCTCTAGCTGTATGAAGTGTGATGTGTTCAGGCTCTAGCTGTATGAAGTGTGATGTGTTCAGGCTCTAGCTGTATGAAGTGTGATGTGTTCAGGCTCTAGCTGTATGATGTGTGATGTGTTCAGGCTCTAGCTGTATGATGTGTGATGTGTTCAGGCTCTAGCTGTATGATGTGTGATGTGTTCAGGCTCTAGCTGTATGAAGTGTGATGTGTTCAGGCTCTAGCTGTATGAAGTGTGATGTGTTCAGGCTCTAGCTGTATGAAGTGTGATGTGTTCAGGATCCAGCTGTATGATGTGTGATGTGTTCAGGCTCCAGCTGTATGATGTATGATGTGTTCAGGCTCTAGCTGTATGATGTGTGATGTGTTCAGGCTCCAGGGAGCAGGAGCCCAGCTGTGGGCGGCCCCTGGGGATCCGGGCGGGTCCAAACGGGACGCTGTTCGTCGCCGACGCCTACCTGGGGGTGTTCGAGGTCAACCCCTCCACAGGTCAGAGGTCACACTGAGAGCATCAGCTGACAGAGATACATGTTTACTCCTGCATCAGATATTTAGTGATCTCAATTAGCAGCAAGTAAACCAGGCCTTGATCACAGTGTTGATGGTGTATAAATGGAGCTCTGCTCCTCACTGCTGCTCTTCCTCTGTTCTCAGGAGAGTCCACTCGCCTGGTGTCGGGCGGTCAGCTGGTGGCCGGCAGGAAGCTGTCCTTCATTAATGACATCACAGTGACGCGAGACGGCAGGAAGCTGTTCTTCACCGACTCGAGCAGCAGGTGGCAGCGCAGAGACTACCTGCAGCTGCTGATGGAGGCCACGGCCGACGGGAGGTGGGTTTTACTGTTGTTCTATCTCTGTTTCACAATAAGAGCCTCTGTCGCTTTGCCACTTCCTGCCGGTGTTTCACAATAAGAGCCTCTGTTGCTTTGCCACTTCCTGCCGGTGTTTCACAATAAGAGCCTCTGTTGCTTTGCCACTTCCTGCCGGTGTTTCACAATAAGAGCCCGTTCTGTGTTCTCAGGGTTCTGGAGCTGGACCTGGAGACCCGGGAGCTGACGGTGGTGATGGAGAACCTCCGGTTCCCCAACGGGATCCAGCTGCTCCCTGACGAGGAGTCAGTGCTGGTGGCGGAGACCACCATGGCCCGGATCCGCAGGTAACTCAAATCACTGACCTTTACGGATTTTCCTTTAGAATGGCAGGAAATTAGTATTCAAGTTTTGATTTAATTGTTGGTCCCCCCCAATGTTGACTCCATGGTTACGGCCTTGGGACCCTCTATGAAACGTCAAGCTACCCCACAGCACCCCCAAAAGAAAGTATCTGGCGCCGACACTGGTTTATGGAAGCGACCTGTAAATTATTAGAGTTAATCCCTATCAAGATATGTTTGTAACACTGGACACATGAAAGTTTCCCCCCCCAAAAAATCTCACTCCAAGCTGAACTCAAAGGTTGGCAGCCCTGTCTAACGTGCGCACTCCTCTGTATTATAACGTGCACTCTGTATCCTCCCACAGAGTGCACGTGGCGGGTCTGAACAAAGGGGGGATGGACACGTTTGTGGAGAACCTCCCTGGGTTCCCTGATAACATCCGGCCCAGCTCCGGGGGGGGGTACTGGGTGGCCATGTCATCGGTGCGGCCGAACCCCGGGTTCTCCGTCATGGACTTCCTGTCCCAGAGGCCCTGGATCAAGAAGTTCATCTTCAAGGTCCGCTCTCATTCTCAACGCGTTTGTTCTCCATTTGTTTACCTTTTTTAATATTTTGAATCCAAAATATTTAGTTTTTATATATTTCTTTATTATTTAAATTGTGTTCCTATTTAGTTTCATTTTTCAAATATATATATTTTTTACATTTTGTTTAGTTTTAAGTTTTACACATTTAGTTTTTGAATTGTATATGTTTAATTTTAGTCTGAATAGAATTAGTTTATTTATTTACTTAAACAACTTCACTCATGTTGTTGTTTACAGAGAAAGTAGTCCCAGCTGTTTCTCCCAGTGTTGTTGTTTACAGTGTGTTGTTGTTTACAGTATGTTGTCTCCCCTCAGCTCTTCAGCCCTGAGGTCCTGATGAAGTTCTCCCCCCCCTACAGCCTGGTGGCAGAGCTCCATGATGGAGGTGTGTGTTCTCGCAGCTTCCACGACCCTGGAGGCCTGGTGGCGGGATACATCAGTGAGGTGCACGAGCACCAGGGCTCTCTGTACCTCGGATCCTTCCGCTCAAACTACATCGCCAAGCTGGACCTCAGCAAGGTGGGTGGAGAACTCTCACTGGTCCCCAGCTTGAGTTCAATCTCAGGATCCATGTATTTCTGATCCTCTCATGAACGGAAGTATTCAAAACAAAAAAAGATTATTTGTTGGTATTTTTCTCAAAATCTAAAAGTTTTCTCAAATGTTTTACTTTTCCTCAAAATTCTGACTTTTTCTTGAAATCTCAAAAATCGGACTCTGAACACTAAAAATGTTAATATCCCCTGTTCCCCGGTTTGAGCTGGAACCTCAGGATCCATGTATCTGTGATCCTCTCCAGAATGGAAGTAGTCATCACATACAGAGCATCAACTAGTTCCTGAACAGTGTCCTTCACATGCTGATATCCAAGAGAGGGAGTTCCACAGTCACAAGATGGAGGAATAGAAAGCAGTATTCAATGTTTACTTCAGATTAGCTCCACGTCAGAAATGATCATGCTTGTCATATGTCTCTCTCCATAGAGGCTGAATCATCATGTTAATCACATAGCTATCATATGCCTCAAACAGTCCTGATGCTCTTCTAGGTAATCACACATCCTGTCATGATCACAGCTACAGTTGATACCTTTGTTAGCATGTTGCTCTCATCATGTCCCACACAGGTCTAGAGAGAGGAGCGTCCAGAGGGTCCTGGACGCGGGAGGCTCGATTCCCATTTCAGTTTGAGTGGCCGAGCGACCCGTTTCCAGTGAGAAGTCCATCCTGAAGCTCCAAAGGTTGAAGATATTTAATAAACAAAATCAAACACAATAACTTAGAACCAAAAGATCCACAGAAAAAATGTCAGCGCAAGATCATCCCCGACATGTAACAGGTGACATGAATACACCATGTGAAGCCGGAAGAGCTCAACTAATACAAATAAAAGTGACGTAAACAAATAATAATAATAAACTCAGGCTCAGTAGCATTTGGGCTCCTCACCACATCAGGCTCTCAGAGGGAGCCAGAGCCAAGGACCTGAGAATCACAACTACGTATTCCTACACCCGACCCTGAAGGCAGCATCTCTGGTCCAATGGGATCTCTCCATCTCTCTGGTCCAATGGGATCTCTCCATCCTCCAGACCAGGGGACAGGAAATGCTGACTCATTCCTGCAGCTGTGTGTTCGGCTTGTATCTGCTTTACTTCTTTATTTACTGAGTAGTTTGTCCTTAAAGTCAGGGAACAGAGTTCTAGTGTTAAAGGAACCTCTAAAGCCACTGCTACGGGTTCCACTGCTACGGGTTCCACTGCTACGGGTTCCACTGGTGGAACCTTCTTCTTGTTCTTTAATGCTAACG